TTTCTTGTCATATATTCTCTTGTATACTGTTCATTAATTAATTTGCTCTTAAATTGTTATATATTCTTCTTGTATATACTTTCTTTAATTGATTTGGTGATCAAAAGTCTTATTTTTTGGTGATTATCTCACTGCTAATAAATTGGTGATCAAAAAAATTGATACCCTTTTGCTTCCATCCATGATTCTGTAATATATTCTGAGTGTAAAGGGGCTTCCTTATGAGACCCCTGTATAAACTGCATGAGATCTCATTTGCTTAAACACAAATATTCGAAACAATCGTGAAACTCGAAAAGATTTTTCAGAAATCCTCTTAGGAAAACGTAGTTAGAGGACAATTTTAATTAGTCGGAACTACATAGGTTTTTTTCTCACGAAAACTATTTTTTTATACATCATTCGATACAATGTTGACTCCAAATATCATCCTGGCTTTCGGAATCAAAACAGACGTCCAAATTTTTTTGACATGAAGCGTGCAGAGTTTGGTGAAATACACGTCACAAAGCACCGTTTTTCACAAAAAGTTAGGTGGCTAAGCCGTCCTATCAAACGGTATATTTTATATTCGTTCAAAGCAGAAAGTCACAGCTAAAATCGACAACAAGGATGACAGACATGCATTCTGAGATACAATTGAACTTATGTTTGCCATGTTAGTGCTTCAGCCAGTGATATTTCGAACTTCTTTAGCTGTAATGTTGCACAGTAATTCAAAAACAATTTGTTTTATGTATACAGTTAAGATGCTATCGTACAAGAAGAAACAAGTCTCTTGTACTAACAGTTAGGACATCAAAAGTAAATCCAAAAATTCCGTGGCACATTAAATTTAATATGTTAATTTCCAATGTACAATCATGACAGGATGCCCGTTTAATTCGTCGCTTTAATACATGATCGAACGATATGGGTGTATAAGAAAGTGACCACCTTCTCATCGTACCTACTTTCTTCAGTGTAGAACGTGTCAGAAGGATATCACAAGTCTATTTTATCTCTGTGTTCCTCGAAACTTCGAGGAAAGCGATTTATTTATTAGAAATTTCTGTGAGACTGTCGGTCACATTTTGGAATTGTTCGTCCACTGGAGGCTTGTAGCCTTACAAACAGATACAAACAAATTCTAATCTGGCAATCCATCTCCGAAAATTGTTTTGTCCTCAAATGATGAAAAGGTTACCTTTGTTAGAAACTGCCTCCTCCTTCAATGTAAACTCTGATACGATTTGGACAGACTTTAGTTAGTACGCTTCTGAATTACTGATTTATCGTCGTAAGTGTATCTTACTACCGAACTAATGATTTCTTGTGATCTTTTTAGTTTTATGGAGACACGTTTCTGAAACAGATCAGAGCTTTTCATACTTTTTTTCTCAGAAACGTTTGCGCAAGCCTTATCTGGAGTGTTTATAAAGAAAAACCGCATAGTAATCCCAAGTCCAGTGTCTTGTTGCATGTCGCGGCTCGAGTCGCTTAAAAAATAAAAAAAGCGGCAGAATCACGTAACGCGTTCGCTGTAAGACTCGCCAAATAATTCGCGGTTTTTAGTGATCGCTAATTTTCGCGCTCATAGAAAAATCAATGACTCACCAGTATTTTGCTATAGTTACTACTTATTGGCGTTTTCCGCCTAATATCAGTAAATGAGCCATGCACTGGGGATCTAGCACTATGGTGGTCCCCTCGCAAACGGAATTCTAATGCAAGTACACTACCAGACTTCCGTAGAAAAAATATTCATGCTACTTCGGACAACATCGTTTAGAAATGGCCACGCCGTCGGTAGAATTTTGCATCCTAGAGCCATGCTACTTTTACCTCGAACGCAGATGAATGGCGTACGCGCCACTTGACTACGAGAGACTATATTAGTCATGTGGTAAGCTATTATCAAGATGTGATAAGATTTTGAAAGTTTTTCGAAAAACTAGTAAGAGTTATATACCAGGCGCGTAAGCAAAACAAAAAGGTGAATAGGATTTGCAAGGGAGACGCCCCGCTACGCTGTATCATGTCGCGATTGTAAGAGAAATATACGATCGCAAGGGGATAATTTATCTTACAGCGAACGCCCCGCGACAGTAGCGACTTCTGCTCACTTTCAGGCAAGAGTCAGTGAATGTTACTTGTTTAAATTCACTCTTTGAATAAATTCCTCAATTTGAAGGACATGTGGATGAGATGGTGATAATGAATGATGAAAAATAGCTGAAGCTTTTTGGTAATTGATTAGAGCTTGTTGATTCTGATTTTGAAGTTCATAAACTAAACCAATATTTAGATACGTTGAACCGATCAATGGTTGTTCGGGTGGCAAAGAGTTAAATTGAATTTCTAACGTTTTCTGATAATTCTCTAATGCTAAATCATACTTATCTGTGAGAAAATGAACAAGTCCAATATTGCTAAATGACATTGATAAATCAGGATGATTTGTTGGTAAATTTTGTCGTTGTATATCTAATCCTTTGTGATAATTTTCTAGAGCTAATTGATATTGTTGTTCTTTTATATATGCAGTTCCAATATTATTATAAATTAAAGCTAAATTTGGATGGCTATCACCTAGAGCGATTTTTAAAATGTCGAGAGCTTTTTCCAAATATTCTATTCCTTGTTTACTCTTATTGTTTTTCAAATATACTAGTCCCATATTATTGTAACTTCGTCCAATATCGGGATGATTCGACGGCAAAGTCTTGAAGAGATCAAGTGATTGTTGATAATATCCTAGTGACAAATCATAATCTGCTTTAATATCAGCAATAGCACCCAATCCTCTTAAACAATGTGGAATTAATGACTGATCATCAATCGATAATGATAATTCGTTTAGTAAACGTTTAAAATATCGTTCACTTTTTTCTAAATCACCCATTTTTGTTAAAATATGTCCGATTGATATCAATTCATTTTCATCATTCATTTCTTGTTTCATATACTGTGAAAGTTCTTTCAAATTATGATCTTTTTCATCGTTACATAATGTTAATTGAATGGTATGCAAACATTGATCAGCATCATAGCAAATATTATCCAATCGGAATATAGAACCGAACATAAACAAAGTTTCTTCTTCGTTTTCAAAATAACTTATAGATGAAATATTTGCAAAAGGTTTTGTTGTAGCGATAGGCGATGGATATTGTCTTGCTTTTATTTCAAATAAAATAATTTGAGAAATGTCACTTGCAGTACTAGATAATGCAAATGAAAGTGCCTGATATCTATTAACACTTGTTGATAAGAAACTATTCATTGAAATTAATGATCCGATATTATCTTTCATTTGTTGTAACTCATTACTTGTCAACATCTGACCACGATAAAATGTACTAATTGAGTCCGCATGTTGTTGAAGACGATATTGTTCACTGAGTTGTGTGTGTATATCTCGTATTAGAAAACGAAATGAAAATAATAGGTCAATGTTTTGTGTACGTAAAGCTTTATTTAAAAGACGGTACAGAAAACATTCGCGTGTATACCACCATAAAGCTCGATCTGATGAATAATTCTGATCGAGTTCATATACAATATCAAGTTCTGTTTTATTTCCTTTATATTGTTCTTTACACAGATTAATTAATTCATGTTTGTCTGTCAATGTCGATTTCATACGTAGAAGAATATCGGTAAGTAATTGTGAATACATGAATGATGCATTTAAACTGGTATGAGATTTTTGTTCTTTATCAATCGATGTATTAAAAATATTAATTGTTGATGTTTCAGTTTCCAACTTATTACGTTTTCTTTGATCTTTTTTGATGTTGTCGATTAATTCATCGGATTGTGTAATCAATGCAACGATCTATAAACCAAAGGGTATATTTGGTAGGAGATGGGAAATTTGAGTTAAACATTCTGTACTTCGAGCAAGAATAAGAACTGCGACAGTTTGCCTTAAAAATGTTACCTAGGACAGATAGCGGAGATTAAAACAGACAAGAACCCAACAATTAATAAAGGCAATCTCATCACAATATTAGTATCCGGTGCTCATGTGCAGCAGTGGACAAAGGCGACCAAAGAGCTAAATCATCGAATAACTCAAGACAAAGTAAATTAAAAAATAATGGAGTCGATAAATCCGAAGCAGCGAGACATTTGACAGAGAATAGTTGGGTTTCAAAATGGCATGAGATAAAAATTTGTGATTACGATCCAAAAACTGTGGTGAGGTGCCATTTTGATTCAGTTTAGGTAGGAGTAAGCCTGCTTGTAGAAACTTGAACGACAGTGAGATCCAACTATTTGAATTTGTAAAACCGAGACTTTCAACCGGACAATGTCAACCGAAAATCAAAACCACCATTGATAACCTGACAAATCCTACTCGCATTCTACCAAGACGAACATCTGATCCCACAGACCATTCTTCAGTTTTTGTACAGCTGTTATTCAACATGATATTTTAGCTGCTCGTCTTTATCCATATTCAACTGTTACTTTCACAATCATCACCTTGTCATTGTTTACTGTACTTATTATTTATTTCTCGTATTCCCATAGGTGTAATTTCCAAATATCATGCTTTTATACACTCACTATTGCAGTTGTTGAACATCCTGCACGCACATATAGTGTGTTCTTTTCTGTAATCAGTCGTCATTCATATCATTTGTACTACTGAAGAAGGAGTCAGTTTAGACTCGAAACGTTTAGTAGTTGTAAATAAATTTATAAAATAAAATAAAATTCTACGAGAAAAACGAAATTAAATTTAAATGTGATTTCCTTATCATATTATCAACAGAATTAACACTACCTCGTATCAAGTTTATATTACACATTCTTGTATTGTGGTTACAAAATTCTTCAGTTCAGTTTAGTTTATTGACAAAAAGTTATGAGTACTCAGAGCATAAGTTGTAAGCATAACTGCTGTCTGTCCAATAAAATAATGACCGTGGCTATTTTTTAAATAATTCGAGAATAAAAAACGATAAAAAAGTTGCAATTTTCATCATTCGAAAGAGGAGACCTCAAGGCATGTTTTCATAACCAGAATTCTCCGAAGAGGTTTCAAAAACAGGTTTTCTACGAGGTCTTTGGGAAACTATGCCGCATGTAAAAGTTTCCCAATAGGATTATATTGATTTGTTTTCATGGGTTTGCTTCATGGGACTTCAAAACTTCAGGATACGATTAATGTTGTCCGCTAAACGCGATTATAAGACCGAAGAAATGTAAAAGCATATTTTTATTAATAGACCAGAAGCCCTTTTGGAAAACCTTAGAGTCTTGCTTGGCTCCCATATCGAGCAGCACTCTCTATGCTATTAGCCCACGAAAAAAAATCAATACAATCCTACTGGAAAACTTTTACACGAGGCATAGTTTTCCAAAGACGTCGTAGAAAACCTGTTTCAGAAAACTCTTCCGGAAAATTTTGGTTATGGAAACATGCCTTCGAGTCTCCTCTTTCGAATGGTGAAAACCGCAAAACTAGGCCGTCAGCGGCCTTCTGATATGTCTCTTAAAACACTGAGCTGGGGGTGACCTTCTAATATAGCGTGGCCTTCTATTTTTGAAGATGATTTATTCGATGATAAATCATGCGTGTTTTTCTCCATGTCTGATCACGCAATGTTTTAGAAACAAAAGTTTTCAGCGAGTTGGAAACAGAAAATTTTCTTTTAACGATCCGATTCGAGGATGAATATTTTATTTATATTATAATTAGCAATTTAATTGTAAAATGAAACGATATCCTTACCTTCTTATATTTCATCGACCACTGCCTATTTGTCCTTGTACTGGGACAGTATAGATAAATAGCAGTGACAGATTGCAAATCATGAATTTTTGGAATAAGATCTCTTCCAGATCGATCGTTCACAATTAAAACAATTTTTTCATCTTTCACTTGTTGAATGTATTTTTCACAATGATCTGAATTATCAAATGTTCTCAAACAGTTTATGATTGATCGTAATTTTTCGTATATTGTTTTATTTTCATCTCTGTTTAAACTTGAATCACACCATACAAGTAAAAATAATTCCAGATTTTCTGGCATTGATGTTGGTGCTTGTGGTGATGTTGAGATTGTTGAAGATGGTGATATTGGTAGGGAAGATAAAGTCATATGTGTGTGTTTATGAACAGATTTTGAATTTCCACAACCCATCATAAAGAATACCTGAAGTTCAATCAGAACAACGAGATATCTATTGTGTTCATGTAAACCAGTACTCAGTTAGTTTTGTTACCCATTCACATATTATTATAGAAACGCTTTTTGTTTTGGCTACGACTACTTAAAAGAATAAAGTAAGAGTGATGGATATAAACAGGACAGAAGAAAAGAACTTTTTTTCTCTCTCTAAATACATCGATCTGGCGAGTGTAGATAAATAAGTATAAGCAGAACAGGACAAAAACTTTTTCTTTTCATAATTTTTTGAAAAAAATTCTTATTATTACCGTTTTAAAAGTTATAAGAATTGTGAAGAAGGAGTAAAAATGTATGTCATCTCGTTTGCTTAGTAAACTGAATATTCAGTTTGTTGAAAGCTACAAGTAAAATTAATCTTCGATTCATGTGACTTCCTCACAGTGGACAAACTTGGTAAAAATTTGAAAGCACGGTTTTTTTGCTTCGTGGTGTTAAATACGTGACTCGACATTTCCGCGAATGACATTACCGCGAAGACTCGATTATTGGAAAAGATGAATAAATGAGCCTGGTTTTGTATTTTGCATATCATATTTTGAAACTGTTTATCAACACTGGTTTGTGTATAATCAGGAATTTTATAGTAGTGCAGAACCCGTAATACGACATTTCCGTGAACAGAACCTTGACTCTTCCACGAATTTTCATAGTACATATCTGAGTATTTTTGGCAGTGTGTTGTGGGATGTGGGGTATTGGCAGTGTGAGAGTGAGTTTGAAAAGTAGTTCCACACAAAACATATTTTCATGATGCGAAACTGTATTTCTGTAACTGTATGACATCATGCCTATTCACCGCCTAATGTCACTCAGGGTTCATGTCGTTCGCGGAAATGTCGGTGTATCGTCGATTATACTTTGAATGATGAGTTATCTCACGGCGTAAAACTTTTATTTCAAGTGACCAACTTTCAGAAAAAAATAAAAGTAAAAATAGCCTATGTATTAGCGACATTTTGTAAAAAAAGCAATTTTTCTATTGAATTAAGCAATTCAGAATTGTGAAAAGTGTACATTTCAAATCTATCTAACAGTACATAAACATTTTCGATTTGGATCCATAATCGCACAAAAAAAATAATATTACCAATGGACTCATCTCAATGTAGGTCCTTGAATTGTAATGCTTGACATCCAACCTCGAATCGAACTCAAAACTGCACCAGAATGTTCATCGACATGTGCTGCATCTATGGTAAATGCATAAAAATGTACATATTTTTCAAATTTGAATTATAGGTGTTTCAAAAAACCTGGGTGTTTGACGAATTCTCTATTTTTCTCAGCCGAGAAATACTTTTAGTGAAAACTAATGTGATAGTTAGAATTAGCATGAAAAACTGCATCGAATGATGTATAGTTTGTTAGCTTTAAGGGATTTTTTTCGAATTCGACTTCTTTTACTTCTATTAATATCTGACACATAATAAGACCATATTATGCGAAAATAATCATTATTTAACTCAAAAAAAACAAATGTCCGCCTGCCCTATGGAAAAATGTTCACTTTTTTGCTCCTGGTGACAGAACATATTCGTCTACGATATGACTGGCGTTGAGGCGCCTAATTAACTTTTTGGCTACATTACTATATGGACCGCTAGCTTATTGCGCTATTGTATTTGATAGAATCCTACCAATATAATGCATCAGTAGTAATCCTTGTTCATCCAACTTTTGGCGAATACCTTTTCCTCTTGGACTCAGAATTTCTGGATAGTTTCAAAATATCCAGAAATACAATGACTAACTATGGCTAACTATGCTGCGAGATCGAGACATTATAGCGATTGCGACGCGATTACATATCCCACAGCGACCCTTAAATAAAGATTCTTCTAGAAAGTAAGAATTGATTAAGATCACGCTGCGACTTCGCGACATTATAGCGATCGCGGCGCGAATATAAGATTTCATCGCGATCGAGCCGCGAATGACGCGTAACAGTGGGTCTGGGTAAACATACGATTTCATTCAAAAAGTCAAGAAGTTTCGAGACGGCAAAAATATGCATTAATATGTAGGAAAAAACTTATGGAAAAAGAAGAGCGATTTGCTAGGAGTGCTGAATGAATCTGCCACAGATTTTCTGTAATTTCGATCGAAATTCCAATAGAATATTCATAAATTCGTCATTAATTTTCGATTTTCTAAATTCGAAAAAGAACTTTGTTTGGTTCTTATCTCTTCTTCAAGAGGCCCAAAAAGGAAGACGCGACACAGCTGCTTCCAAAGGCTTTGGAGAAAAGTTTCTAGCGATAAAAAGAAAGAGGACCTCGAGAAACTCTTATAAACCAGAGGACAGCTTCAGAGCGTAGTGCGATTCTGAGATAGTTTGCTCGCGCAGAATGCCTATTAAATTTATTGCATTTCATGTTCCATACTCGAGTCTCAAAAATGCTTCCTTCATTTAAACTGTTAAAAAAATTATTTTCGACATCAGTATTTTCAGTATTTAGTGTACTGATACTAGTGCATATCTATATTCAGGTCATATCTGTGTATGTAGATTTTTCAGAGCTTTCCCTTGGTGGTAATCTTAGTTGTACAAAGGATACTTACACAGCGAACACTTAGTGACATACTGTAATGAATGATATTTCATGGATGAGTCAAATTAAACTACATGAATTTTACAATATATCGACTCTTTATAAAAATAAAAAGGAAAATATTGTTCAGAAATATTCGTTCTATAGTTCTGTATGGAATAAGTTAAAAACATCTGATTTCACTTAAAATAGGCCATAGCCTTTTCATTGATTGTTAGTTTCAGGTGTACCGATTCTGTCTTGGAAAATATTGAACTATGTGCCAAACTCTAATAATTTGATGGAAATGCAGAAAATACTAGTGTGAGACGAAGACGTGAAATCTGCGATAATTTATAACGAATTTCGAGCCACCAAATACCAATGTCCATAACTCTACTATGGCAACATGAGTGCGTTATCGTTTTTGCTGTTATTCTTTATATTATAATATTTAAAGGGAATATTAGTAATATTATAACGAATCTCTGTCGTTTCGCCAAAAGACAATTCGCCGTGGCGAAAAGTCATGGGACGTTTCGCCAATTGGTGAAGTGTCTTATGCCGTTTCGCCAATTGGCGAAAGCATACAAATTCTTGGTGAAACGGCACTGGCATTTCGCCATGGGAATTGTCTTTTGGTGAAACGGTTTTTTACCATCTTTTGTGTACGCAAAATTTTGGGGAATCTCTGACGTTTCGCCAGAGCACGATTCGCCAAAAGACAATTTCCTGGAAACCTCCCTCGAAATATACATTTTCAAACAAACCAAACGAACTAAAAACAAATTCGATATTCCATGGTCTGTTCGTCTGTTTAAGGAGATGAACAGTTGAACAGTCTTCGTATGTAAACGGGCAGAGATTAAAAGAAAAGAATTAAGAGGCGAGAGAGACAGAGAGATAAGGAAGAACACGAAAAATAGACAGGAAGAAAAAATACATATAAGTGTGACTTATAGAGATAAAGAAAGGATAGCCGGATGAGTTTTCCGCTTCTTTCCTCTTTAAAATGTTTTCCCTATAGTCAAGCGACATTTTTTTTATTTACATATGTATTATTATAATTTAAATGGCGATACCTAAGTCAAGTTAGGGATCAAGAATCAGTGAGATTCCTAAGTTAACTTAGGGACTGATAACAATTTACGGTGTTCTAACCATTTACTGGCAAAATGTCATGTGCCATTTCGCCAATTGGTGAAATTGTACAAATTCTGGGCGAAACGGCATTGACACTTCGCCAATTGCCGAAACGGCACATGACATTTCGCCATGGCGAGTTGCTTTTGGCGAAACGGGTTTTTACCATTATAACACAGAGACAACAGCGGAAATTGTAATGCACTCATGCTCCGTGGTAGAATTACGTGGAATGCCCCTGAGAATGTAAGTATTAATTCGTAAATGGGCTTCTTTTTGTATTGCTAGATTATGAAAAATAGTACAATAAGTTTTCTTGTCAGAATGTTGTTTCTCTGTACACTCAGCTATATGAATAACGCACAATCGGTACTCATAATAACTTTTTTCTTCCTCTTCTGTGTTCGTTTGACCTCGGTGTCATTCGGACCTTTCTCTTCGACTGTATGATAATCAGAAAGAAAAGGAAACTAATAGATAGTAGAAAAAGTCTTCTTCTTTCGTGCTTGCTATAACACATCAACGAAACGTGTAGTAATGAAGCTGCGAAAAACAGTGTTTTCCTTTCTTTTCTTTTTGCTTTTCTATTTTGTTATCTTATTCACGTTATATATAGTGTATGCTCATGTTACAATGTGCATTACCGTTGTCTGTGTAGAGTGATACCTTGCTTCCTTCGTTCTTTTTCCTTTATATCAGTCGAAGTGTGTACGTCACAGCATATATATGGAAGATATAGATATATATATTCTTGAATTATATATCGCTCGACTCTTCGAATGATATGAAGGAAAAAGAATGAAGAAAGCGTGATATCACACCTAGACAGACAACAGTCTTAATAGGAATATAGTAAATAAGGAGATATCTCTTTCCATCTAAGATATCCATGTGCAGTGCGACACATTTTTTCGTCTCAGCGCATCAATAGAAAAGAAAGAGAACAGAACGATATACATAGGAGAAAAGAGATATCCCCATATTTACTACTAAATAGCTCTCTAATATATATGTTATGTATGTATGATACACATTGTAACGTGAGCACACACTATATATAGCGTAATAAGAAAACATGGAAAAGAAAAAAGAAAAGAAAATCACTATTTTTCGCAGCTGTATTGTACGTTGATATACATAATTAAACCGTTTCTCTTTTTTTCTCTCTCCACATTGTTTTGTTGTCTGTTCTGCTGTTTGACGCCACAAACTGATCATTTGACTAATGGTATTAGTAGATATCTAACTAAACGCCTTGAGTAATAGAAACGTTTTATCAAGTTAAAAAGGATGACTTCACCTTTAGTTTCACTAGTGAAACGAGAGATGAGCGGCGATAAGTATTATTATCGATTATTGTGTTTAGTAGTTTTCATACTTTTTTTACTCGCGTATGAGTGTCATCGACAATATAAAATAATATTTTATCCTCGAGCAACACCAACAAAAACTATTCATCCATACGATTATTCTCTATGGCTAAATTCGTCTTTGCTACCACGTATAATGACAGCAAAGGAACATTTGGCATTGATAAAATTAATTGCGACCTTTCAACGGATCTGCGAACAACACAACTTCACCTACATGATGTCAGATGGGACACTACTTGGTAGTTATCGTCATCACGATATCGTTCCATGGGATGATGACGCCGATTTTCTTGTACCTGTCAAACAACAATCGAGATTTATATCTGTTATAGTAAACTCGTCAATCGGAGTCAAAATAGTTAAATTCAATCTGAAGTATAAAATATATCTTGAGAATACGACACGTGCCGGTAATCGATCATGGAATTGGCCGTTTATTGACATTTGGTTCTATCGTGATGTTAACAATACACACATTCAGTATGATACACCTCAGTGGAGGCGCTTGATACACGCTAAAAAAGATATTTTTCCTCTAATAACACGACTATTAGGTCAACTGTGGGTGCCAGCACCGCGAAATCTTATTAAGCATAACTCGTTTACTTTGAAGTACTGTAGTAGTGGAAATTATTCACATCGTAATTCTGTCTATCAAAAGGGGAGTAAGCCAATTCGATGTAGCGCATTGTACAAATATTATCCATTTGTTAATCGAACATGCAATAATCCGTATACCTGTACGGAACAACTCAATTTGGGCAATCGAACAATACACACAATCGAAATTGAAAATGGTAGTTTATGAGTTTCCTAGTAATTATCGAAGTTTTGATGGCAAGGTTTCCATTTATCTCAGAATTTATTTATGTGAGTTTCAATCTGTTCTTTTTTATTCATCAATAACGCTGGAAAATTACTTTTTAAGTCGACAGACATGTATTTTTGTTTTTTTATTTTCTGCTACCTTTCTGTCATCCTCTTTTTAGGCAGAATGTGCAACTCGTGATCTAGAGAACTATGAAAGCTAGAAAAGTTCTGGAAAAGATAGGATGTTATCTCGACTTTGGAGATAGATCAATGCACATTTTTGTCTCAAATAAAGGTCCATATTCGATGCCATAAACGCCACAGGTGAAAGAAAACTGCTTGAACTGTGGAACTTTGCGTACACTCGGTTGTCCGGCCACATTTGTTCTTCAGAGAAAAATTAATTCTCTCTCTCTCTCTCTCTTCAAATTTCGTTTTCAATTCATTTTTCTTAAAGCTATGTTTTAAAACAACTAAAATCACAACGAACGTGATATGGTGAACTCCTTCTTGACTGTGGACAGCTTCTGACAGCTTCAGATCTGATACAGTCTGTCGGCATGGCAACTTATGTGCAACGCAGTTGCTCTCTGTTTTGCATGTTGTGGTATTCAAACTGAATTATTGATCTTCACCGTTAACGTTACCCCAAAAAGATTAGATCACGCTTCGGAAAAAAAGGAGAATATTTTTCTAAGATAGCGACAGTGTTTTCTACGTTTCCACTAACAACATGGAAGATTGAAAATACGTTGAATATAACGTCAGATATTATCAAATAATATGTTCACTTGGAAAAATCTTGTCAAAGCAGCCCGCATGGGGTTAAAATGTGAGTACACCTTCCAGCTGTTAATTCTTGAGATCCTTGTAGTAATTAATAATTAAACATGACATGAGAATGATTTTTGAGCAAAAAAATAATAACTATGAGCCCCGCAGCAGTTTTAAGATCATAACCAGAGGCTGTAAAATCGTTAGTAGGGCCCTGAATGATTTAGAGACTATTGACACATACCGAGAACGATTTTTCCAAGGGGAAAAAATCGTAGGAAACGGCACGAAAAACGCGTTTTTTACGAACATGTGAGCGAACGACCGTTAAAAGCGCCGTTTAAACGCGTTTCTTTGTTATTTAAAACTTTAGAATAACACGTTTGTTAACGATCGTCGAATTAACGCCAGAAAACGATTAATTCAATGATCGTTAACAAACGTTTTATTCTAAAGTTTTGAACGCCAAAAAACGCGTTTTCTTGTCAATTTTTTACTCATGGGTAGTGCCGCAGGGCACTTCTTCTGATGATGAATGGGACACTTATAAAAGTGTCCCACTACGGGGCACTGTTTTCCAGTTTTCGCGTTGACAAAAACGCTCCAATCTCCAAGTACCTGAAAAAAATGTGCTGGGTGCTTGTTGTTTCGAATGTAGGGACTCTAAAGTTATCACTAGGCACCTAATGGACTTTTTTCATACCAAAAACTTTCTTCGCACGCGTTAGCTATTTTTAACGCATTTAACAGCTTGAAATATTAATAAACTCACATGTGTTAACTGCCTTAAAAAGAAAGTTCTAATGCCTTGACATGCGTTAAATTTTATATACGAAAATTAAATGAAAAAGTTCGCATCTATTGAAAAGTCATTAATGCGTTAAAATGAATTAAATGGATAGTTTAACGCGATAAACTAGCGAAAAGATGCGTTTTAGTCTGATATTAAACTTTTTAAGCGTTTCTTGCACTAAAATTACATTAACCAAAAAGGTTTCAAACACGTTTGACCAATTTCTAACTTTAATGCCTCAAAAATTCAATGTTTTTCAAACGCGTTAAAGCTTTTCAATGCATTCAAACGCATTAAACGTGTTTAATTCATGAAAATACATTAAATTTTAACGAATTTGAATGCATTCATCCAAGGCCTGCGTAATTCAAAAATGAAGTACAATTTTATTTTTAGCTTCTTGATATATGATTCGGTAGAGAATTTGAAGCTGATCACCAATATCGCCTTCTCAATGCACGTTTGCGCGTCGAAAAATTGAAAATACGGGAAGGGTCTTAAAATCCGGAAAACTTTCACGTGTAAAAAAGTTTAATACTTTTTCTTCTTTTTATTTTGAAACTCTCAAACAGCTTTTTTCTAATTCAGCGTTGAAAATGTGTTTTTGATGGTCCCTATATATAATAGAGCACTAGCAAATACGGAGATATCTCTTCTCGCACATGCACTATGTTCGTAAACGAATGTGTCAAATGTTTGTTTCTTTCTGTTCTCTTGCTCTCTTTCACTGTGTGAAGAACGTGGATAAATCAGTTCAGCATTGTTTTCATTCACCGTTTTATTCTTGCAACGCTTTTTTAAACAATGCGCCGAAAAAGTTGGAAAGTCAAGTTATAAATGTGACTCTGCTTGATTCTTTTCCTATTTAGATGAATGAGACTTTGAGTTACGTTTCTCACTCGTCAATCAGGTTGAAACAGTGACTTTTCTCCGACAGGAAATTTGATGAAAACACAAGTTAAAGTCATTTAGATCTAGGGTTCCATCGTCTTCGTTTATCACTACAGTCACTTTAATCTATTTTAGCAAAGATACGATACTGCACTGTAGAACAAAGATGTGACACAAAGGAAAAGAAAGATATGCTTAGATACGACAGATAGATATGATGTGCTTAGATACGAAAAGGCACATCTTTCTTTTCCTTTCTGTCATATCGTCGAGATATCTTTCTTTCGTTTGTCATAGAGTGGTTGCTTAAAATTAGAACAGAAATACTCGATGAGCGTAGTATTTTCTTTATCCTGATCTTATTCTTGAACGTTTCTCAAAAAATTTTTCACCATTGTGTAACTGGGAGTCTCAGAAATCGAATGAAACCAAAAATTTTTAGTTTATCAGTGTTTCTATTCTAAATAAATACGGTATTTAATAAGAACAGAAATGAAGTGCAGTGCATTATAGGAGCAAGAACTCACTCATTTAGAATGGTAAACTAAAAATTTTTGGTTTCATTCGATTTCTGAGACTCCCAGTTACACAATGGTGAAAAATGTTTTGAGAAACGTTCAAGAATAAGATCAGGATGAAGAAAATACTACGCTCATCGAGTATTTCTGTTCTAATTTTAAGCAACCACTCTATGACAAACGAAAGAAAGATATCTCGACGATATGACACAAAGGAAAAGAAAGATATGCTTAGATACGACAGATAGATATGATGTGCTTAGATACGAAAAGGCACATCTTTCTTTTCCTTTGTGTCTTGCTAAAATAGATTAAAGTGACTGTAGTGATAAACGGAGACGATGGAACCCTAGATCTAAATGACTTTAACTTGTGTTTTCATCAAATTTCCTGTCGGAGAAAAGTCACTGTTTCAACCTGATTGACGAGTGAGAAACGTAACTCAAAGTCTCATTCATCTAAATAGGAAAAGAATCAAGCAGAGTCACATTTATAACTTGACTTTCCAACTTTTTCGGCGCATTGTTTAAAAAAGCGTTGCAAGAATAAAACGGTGAATGAAAACAATGCTGAACTGATTTATCCACGTTCTTCACACAGTGAAAGAGAGCAAGAGAACAGAAAAATCCTTATTTGTTGTGTGTCTATTTTTTCTTCTTTCCATATCAAATGTGTAGCAATGTCTGCACATGGAATATCTTATGTGAAATGAGATATCTCCTTATTTGCTAGTGCTCTAATGTCATTGCACAAAAGATTCATCTTCAGGAATATCTCCACAGCGGAGACCTCATCGGAAAAAGCTATCTAGTTTTTTTTGGTAAAAGATAGAACGTTCATTCTTGCTCCATTCGATCGGTCTTTATTCGTACTACACAAGTATAACTCGTGTTTTTTGAAATTCCTCTCCATTGCTGAGAAATTTCACTTTTGCTAAATCAGGAGCGAAAAAATCGGATTTCTGTCAATAATTCTCAATTTTCTTCACCAGAACTCACTTTTTTTGTAATAAAAGTATCATGTTCGGAGCCGACGTGAAAAACTAAGTGGAATGATATATGATTTGAAAGTTTCCGTTGATTTTCATTTTGAGTGAAACTCTCAGTAAATTTCGAAAAACATAAAAGTGAGATTTTCTCTAAAAGATGAAAATCAACGGAAATTTTCAAATCATATATCATTCGACTCAGTTTTTGACGCTGATTTAGAAAGCTGAATTAGAAATTTCTTTTTAAGGCAGTTAACACATGTGAGTTTATTAATATTTCAAGCTGTTAAATGCGTTAAAAATAGCTAACGCGTGCGAAGAAAGTTTCTGGTATGAAAAAAGTCCATTAGGTGCCTAGCGATAACTTCAGAGTCCCTACATTGGAAACAACAAGCACCCAGCACATTTTTTTCGGGTACTTGGAGATTGGAGCGTTTTTGTCAACGCGAAAACTGGAAAACAGTGGGATACTTTTATAAGTGTCCCATTCATCATCAGAAGAAGTGCCCTGCGGCACTACCCATGAGTAAAAAGTTGACAAGAAAACGCGTTTTTGAGCGCGTTTATTGACGATATATTGTTGATCAGAAAGTTTCGAAATAAGTGATCTTTTGTTATTACTTTCTGATGCACAAATAGAGTAAATGAAAAGAAGAAAAAATATTGATACTAGAGTTTTGGAGCAATTTCTTTCGTAGGACAGGTTTCGAGATCGTAGGTTAGGATAGGTTATAGGTTGTGAAAGTTGTTACAGGACAGGTTACGGGTTATAAAACCGTTGTAACCTGCAAGGCTCCGCAAGCGATAAGGTTGAATGGATAAGTCATTTAAGATATGGAAAAGAAGCTTTTAGGTGTTACCTAAGAGCCATTTCACATAAGCCACGATTGACACTGCTCAGTCGTATCTCACAGAACAGACACACTGTACTGTTTAGGAGCCATTTTACATAAGCGGCGACTATATTACATAGAACACTGCTCAATCGTATCTCACAGAACTCGTTCGAACCAGTCATAAAAGAAAATATAGACATTTCTCAGCAAAATGGCGCTTTCCGTTTGAAAAAATATTGCTGGGTTGCTGAGAAACGAGCTTTTTAAAATTTCGACCAACTTTTGAAAAATGCGAAATCTCGTATTGACCACTGTGTGTTGCTCATATCTTGGCAATCATATAAGGTAAACAGCTCAAATCTTTTACATAAATAGAGCTGACATTTTTCTTCAATTTACACCAAACCCAACTTCTGGGAATGATTTCGTTCTCATACCGTGACCTGCATCCGGTACGTTCTAAACTCAGAAACTTTTGAAAACACCATTTGATAGAGGACCTCGAATACTACAACACCCGAACGTGTGAGCTTCTAATTCGCTTTTGCTCAAATAAAAACTGCATCCAAAGTATCGACTTTCGCTGAAAATGTCAGTTTTCAATATCGATTTTCTCCCATGGCATACGACGAATTTTGGAAATATTTGGTGCATAGGTAGCTGCAACCTTGATCTATCAATAGATGAAAAAATTTCGGTGGGCAACGTTAAGCTCACTTTTCAGCTCCTAGTGCCCCCGACAGTAGGTGTAACGATCGAAAAGAGACAAACTCAAAACATTCTCAAATATTCATAGCGCCATACTACTAGTTGTTACAGAAATGAAATAGTCTAGTTGGGAGAAACGAATCAGTTTTACAAAAATAGAAATAACGGTCAAACCTTCCTTAATTTAGTTCTAATTTAGTTTCTTTTGTTATCGAATTCTTCTCTTTACTGAAGATTAAGATAAATAAAAAAATATCGTTACATTTTTGGTGGAGGTGCGGGGCAATTTGGTGTTTTCGTGTATGCTCATATTTTCCTTCAATCAACAGCATGTCGTACAAAACTCAAATACACCATAATAAATCACTACCAACAGTTCATCAAATACATTGCTCACAATCAAATCAGACAGGGTTACATAATTCAGTACACAAACAAGAAACAATAGGAGATGTAAAACTAACAACTACAGCATCACTTTATGACATTCTAAAACAGCAAATACAACTGCAAGCAAGAACAATTGATTCTCTTCAACAACAGCTTATTGAGTTTAAACTTTTATCACAGCACAGAACACCGAACAACTCGAAACAACCGACATTATTTCACATAACACAACAACCACAACCACAGCTTACACATCAACTTTCATCATCTCATCGACCGAATATAAGACTTCATGATACGACAATAATACCATCTCCAGTATCGTCAACGATACATTTAAAAGCATCAGATTTACCAACTTATCGTGGAAGACAAGATGAAGATCAATGGGTGGAACAAGTTTCAGCTATCAAACAATATAGTCATACGACGGACGGAGAACTACTAAAAATACTTCCATTAGTTTTCAGAGATAATGCTTTAACCTGGTTTACGACACTTGGTGAAACAAAAAGATCAACATTAACAACATGGGGAGGATGGAAAGAAATGTTAAAGCAAGCATTTAGACCAGCTAACTATCAAATAAAATCATTACGTGATCTAAAATATCGTACATTAACAAACAATGAATCTGTGAATGATTATTACTTTGATAAATGTAGATTATTACGCGTAGTATTCGGTGAAAATGTTGAAGAAGCAACAATGGTTAACGATATTATAGATGGTTTATCGGGAAATTTTAAGATGTTTGTATTAAGTCGAATCAATCCCAATACATCATTAGAAGAATTACGTCGTATTCTAGTGGACTTGGATTCAAATATTCATGAACAGAAACTCAATAATACCTATCGATCCAGCGTCAAATTTCACAATCATAGCAACGATCATAATGAGCGTCGTTATTTAAATTCAGATACAAATACAAATCGAAATGCAACACCAACAACAAGAACATCAAAAATTAATCCACCGAGTCCATGTCCTCTTTGTCAGGGACGGCACTGGAAAAATGATTGTCCATTATTACAACAACAACAACAACAACGAGGCTTATTTAATAACAGATCAGTATTAACAAGAAACGTATATGACAGTAAAATTAATGACACATCAAATAATCAACATCGAAGAATTAATAATACGATAGCATTAAATAATAATCGACAATGTTTTTCAATTGACAGCAATAATACACATCGAATTGATGAACAACATCCATGTGACTCTATTGAACCATCCAATTTAAGTTATGATCATATCCACACTGATATAAACAATGTATATCATGAAAATAACATTTCATCATCATCCCCAATAGATGATAATAAAAGTAATTCAACAATAGCACTCAATTTAGACAATTCGCTTACTGAACAAAATTTACTTAGTGATAATCAACAAATAACATACATGCCAGAAATAATGATAACAACAATAGATTCAGACGAAACAACAACGTATCAAAATTTATCTCCAGCTCAGTCGAAAATTATGATTAATAATCACATATTAATAGCATGTATTGATACAGGATCATCAATATCTATAATTGATTCACAAATATTGAATGAAATAGGTCCAGATGCTAAAATAGAACCACCGCCGTCTATTGTACTACAAACAGTGAATTCAACAAGTCATCCTATGGGTAAAACAAGATTAAATGACGCATTTGTCAACAAAACAAATTCGACAATCTCATCAATACCAATTGAGTTTATCATTATTTCTAATGCTCACACGAAAATAATTATCGGTTATGATTGTTTATTAAAAAATGGTGCAAAATTAAATCTTGTTGATGGTCATTTTACATTAAAGGATTCAAAAACTGGTCAAATACCATTTATTGTGCATGATGACAAACAACACTTTCTAGAGCAACAGTCGTCACATTTTATCACGAAATCATTTGATAACAAATGAAATTTAAGAAAACCGTTATCTAATGTAGAAACAACAACACCTTCGACACCAGAAACAGGATCTTCTCGAGTTCATGGTAAAAAGTCATCGATAATTACATCATGCAATTTTATTATACGGCCATTCCATCGTGCATTAGTACCAGTATTAGCTATTAGTCCAATTGAAACGAAGCATGCATTAATTGAATCAACCTTAATACGTGATGGTGAAGTCTTAACAAGAGTGGCGAATACAGTAGTTAAATCAAATCACAAGATACATCATGTTGAGTTAATTAATTTGGAAAACCGTCAATTACTGTTAAAAAGAAGTGAACAAATAGCAACAATATCACCATTATTAGACTCATCGCCAATATTTTTATCAAAAACATTTACATCAACAGCAGTTAATACAACTAACCATGTTCGGAGTAATGATAATGATGACGATGAATTAGATAAACAAATATTTTTAGATGCTTTAAGATCAACAGATATAAATCTACAACTGTCAATGGAACAAAAACTATTGGTCATAGATATGCTACTTAAACATCGAAAAGCATTCGCATATGGCGATCGAAAAATAGGTTGTACAAATATTCATAAAATGAGAATTGAAACTGGTGATGCAGCTCCAGTATCAAAGCCACCTTATCATGCTTCACCACGCGAACGACGGATAATGGAAAATCAAATTATAGAATTAGAACAACAAGATATAATTGAAGATTCATCATCAGAATGGGCATCACCAGTTGTTCTTGTAATGAAAAAAGACGGAACAATTAGGATGTGTGTCGATTACCGCAGATTAAACAGTGTTACCAAAACAGATCAATATCCCGTTCCTCGTATGGAGGATATATTAACTCATTTTTCACAAAAACAATACTTCTCAACATTTGATTGTAATAAAGGTTTCCATCAGATTGAATTAGCAACAGATGATGATAAACAGAAAACAGCATTTCGTAGCCATTTAGGGCTGAAACAATATAAACGTATGCCATTTGGTCTTAAGAACGGTAGTGCTATATTTCAACGTGTTATGGATAAAATTTTGAAACAATATAACTGGAAGTTAGCATTGGTTTATGTTGATGACCTAATTGTATCAAGTGTTACATTTGAAGAACATTTAGATTATTGTGATAAAATATTAAAATTATTAATAGATGCAAATATAACTATGAGTTTAAAAAAATGTCATTTATTTCAACAACATGTACAAGCATTAGGTCATATTATATCTAATTTAGGTTTATCAACATGTGAAAAAAAGGTTAAAGCGGTAGCTAATTGGAAAACACCCAAAAATCAAAAACAGATGCAACAATTTTTAGGGTTAGCTACATACTATCGTCGTTTTATAAAACATTTCGCCACAATAGCAAAACCATTGACAAGATTATTAGCTAAAGATAAACCGTTTATTTGGACAGATGTAGAACAAGCTGCATTTGAAGCATTAAGAACTGCATTAATTACGGCTCCAGTTTTAGCACAACCAAATTTTAGTCAACCATTTCGTCTTTATACTGATGCAAGTAACGTTGGCATAGGTGCTATTCTTGGACAAGTACAAAATGATGGTACTGAACGCGTTATTTGTTATATATCAAGACAATTAAATGCAGCTGAACAGAATTATAGCGCCACTGAATTAGAATGTTTAGCTGTTGTCTGGTCATTAAAAAGATTACATACATATTTAGATGGTTCGAAATTTGAATGTATTACAGATCATAGTGCATTACAATGGTTATTTGACTTCAACGGGCATAATAAACGTTTATTAAGCTGGTCACTCAGTATACAAAATTACCGTGATACA